TACAACATCAGAAACGAACAGCAGCTTGTGCGAGCCGCACTGATTTCGTTCGTATTCGCATTGCTTCTATTTTCTTCGATGAACGCAGAATTGAGCAAAACAGACAGCTGAGCGTAACATGAATGATTCTGAGTGTAGTAGTGTGGATGATTCCTCTCTTAAGCTGGGCTTAGACAGGGCAAGTCAATTGATCAAGTCAGTTGAATTCAACTGACTTGAACGCGAATTGAACGTGTAAACCATGCCATTCAACTGACTTGATCAATTCACTTGAATTGAAAAAAGTTGAACCAGGCTGAACTTTTCAAGCCAATTGAATTCAACTGAGTTGATCATTTGACTTGCCTAGTCTAAACCCAGCTTTATTGTTTTTTCCATGCTGAGCCTTTTACGATTGCATTCTGCTGAGTGAGCTGAATGAAAATTTTGCAGAAAGAATCACTTTTTATTTTCTAGCTTTAAACGTACATTAACACATTTAAGGTGATACTCTAAGGAAGCCTTAGCGTGAAACTTTTACGCAACAAATGTCAGCTTCCACAAAACATACAAATTTGAAATTGCTACTCCTTGTTTGCTGTGCTACTACAAATAGAGAGTAGCAATTTCAAATTTGTATGTTTTGTGGAAGCTGACATTTGTGCCTTTGAAGTTTCACGCTAAGGCTTCCTTAGAGTATCACCTTAAATCGCTATTAATAGAGAGAAAACTGTCATACTGCAGCACAGAAACATAAACGTCACGCAAATAACATAAAACTGCTGTGGCCAATTCAACTGATTTAAATCAGTGAGCCAAAAATTATCTGACTCGGCTATTTAAATCGTTAGCATTCGGATTTTACGCATTCAATCTGGTTCTCCCTCGCTAGAGAAAATTGTTCGGCTGCCTTTCAGTTTATCCTTCTTTCCTTCTACTGCTGTCAGTTCTGAGTCGAGCTGCAGAGTCACTTGGTTGGAAGAATTTACACTCGATCGGCTATCTGTTTGTAGGTGAGGATGGTTATTTTGATTCTGTGGTGCTCGCGCGACTGAATGAATTTTCCCATGCTTGATGCCAGCACTGCGGCGAGTAGTTCGCGGAACTGATAATGTTCAAATCAACAGTTCAATGCGTGACCGAAGATACACAATGAAGAGTTACGTCTGTTTGTCTGTGTTTCTACGATCAATTTCCGAGACATGGTGGGGTGCTCACCCGGAAGACCTCATTAGACTATTCTTTCAGTTCTTGAGTATGGCTCTTTTTGCTTCCTCTCGGCAAGAAAAAGCCACCTAATCAAATTGGAACGTATTCAATATCGTTGTTTACGTATTGCCCTTGGCTGTATGCATTCAACACACAATATGAGCCTAGAGGTCCTAGCGGGCGTAAAACCCCTGCAGAACCGTTTCTGGGAGCTCTCATTAAGAATATTGATTAAATGTAGTGTCAGTAACAACCTTGTGATTGAAAACTTCGAAGAAATGCTCGAATTGAGCATCCAGTCTAGATTCGTGTGAATCTATCTTAATTATATGTCATCGGGTATAAGCCTTCCTTGCTATAACCCCTCTCGTGTATGCTTTACTAACTACAGTTCCCCCATTGACTATGATCTCTCCATGAAACAGGCTATTCAAGGAGTTCCAGATTAACTTCGACCTATCTCAATTCCCTGCATTTTTGCTGAAAAGTACCAACATGTCAATTGCAATAGAAGATTTTTCACTGATGGATCACGCATTGATGGATCCACTGGCTTCGGCGTCTTCAATGAATACTCAACCGCCTTTCGGAAACTTCAGGAACCTTGTTCCGTTTATGTTGCTGAGCTAGCAGCAATCAACTTCGCATTGGGGATGATTTCCGATATGCCCACAGACCATTACTTCATCTTCTCGGATAGTCTCAGCTCGATTGAGGCGTTGATGAAAGAAGGTAGGCACTCCTCTTATTTCCTTTCAAAGGTAAGGGAGCAGATAAGTTTGCTGGTCGAAAGATCATATATGATTACCTTTGTATGGGTTCCCTCACATTGCTCTATCCCAGGCAATGAGAAGGCAGACTCTATCGCAAAGGTGGGCGCACAACAAGGCGAGATTTATGATAGAAGAATTTCACATGATGAATTTTTCCCATTAGTATGTCAGAGTTCTCTTTTAAGTTGGCAAAACGATTGGACAAGTAATTCTCTTGGGCGGTGGCTACATTCCATTATTCCAAATGTTTCTTCGAGAGCGTGGTTCAAAGGTCTGGATGTAAGTCGGGGATTCATTCGAGTGATGCCAAGACTTATGTCCAATCACTACTCGCTAGACGCACATCTCTATAGAATAAACCTCGTTGACAGCAATATATGTAGGTGCAGAACCGGTTATGATGATATCGATCACGCAGTTTGGTATTGCCCGGGTAATGACGCCTCCAGAACACGACTATTGGAACCCTAGTGGCCCGAGGTAGACAACCCTTCCGTGAAGTAAGAGATGTACTGGGAACACGTGATCTTCCCTACATGCAAGCAATCTACGAATTCCTTTGTTTGTCTGATTGAACCCAGGCCTGCTGGGGTGAGAGGTAATCACGATTACCACTACACCACCGGCGCCGTTCATTTGTTTGTCTGATGTTAGAGTTTGGTGTGATCATTCCCTCCTTTCCAAACAATTTCCCGCCATTGTGTCCCAGTCTTATTATCCTCCTGTTCCTGTGCTACTTACCCCTGCCCAGCGAGGATTTGGTCAACCGTCCGAGAGTAGTATCTGAAGGAGGCTTCAGAAACCAGTTTCCTACCTAGCTCATTCCAATCGAAATTGTTACCCATTAACCTCGAGCCCGCCACGAGTAATTGGTACCCAATACTAACCTAGAACTACTGCTATTTAAAATGTAAATTTAAACATTACTGATTTTGGCTCCGCAAAGTGTCACACACGACTGACCCTAGTAAATAAACGAACTGGTTAAAAAAAACCCTGGTCCTAAGTCACATTGACAGATTCTGTTCGTCGACTTTTTCTTTGTATCCCCACGGCCATCTTAAGACATTCCCAGGTATTTTCAGCACATATATCGATAAAAGAAGCTTTCATCTTTCATATAGCATTTAATATGACAAACACAACAAGAGACGGTTATGTGCTCATGTTATTAACGAAAGAGAAAGTCGACGAAGAGAATCGATCAGTGTTACTTAGGACCTAACGCAATGTTCAGTTTGATTTGCCCGTTGGGTGCCATTTGCCCGAGAGGATTTTCATCAGACTTTCTCATTATAGCTAAAATTTTATTATTCGGAATATGAAACTATATTATAACTATATTTGTTATTTGTAAGATCCTATTGGTAAAGTATGTGAAGGACACATAAAACCTGTCAATTCCGCACTTTAACATCTCTTTTTGCATTATTATTGTTATATCTCATAGTTTCATAATTTCAAAAAGTAGAGTTGTTTATGGACTGTTCTCTGTTTCAAAGAACACCAAGTTGAGAGCAGGCTGAAGCTTGTGTAAGAGGGAAGATTCAACATCGGTTATCAACAATGTAGGGGGAAAATCTACTTCGGCCCAATCGCTCATTCCCGGCCTATCGTAGCTCCAAGACGAAGTGTTGAAGTCTCGCACAATAAGATCTCAAAAACAAAAGGCGTATTTGAAGTGTCCAAAAGGCGCTTTTCTTTCCGTTCGATAGGCCAAAGAGAATCCCAATGGCGTTTCAATGGCTAAAAGGCCCAAGAAAACCCGTAGGCCACCTTGAGCCGCTAGAAGCAGTTTTGCATTTTCAACAATAAACGAATGTTTCGTGACCCCTTTTCAGGACTAACGATAGAAAGGTACATAAATTTGGAAGCCATCTGTAATGATAACATTCCGTTTGGTGCTAAACTACGCTAGATTAAGAAAGACTAAGTGCGGGTTGTGCTTAATAGGCCAGGAATGGGGTAGTTAACCCTACCTGTACCTGTAGCACAGCACATAAACAAGTCGAAATGGCTAAACGATTGCTTAAAAGGACTAGCTCTGCACGGGGGCTTCTACTTTTGTATCAAGTTTATTACAATAACATTTCTCACGTTCACAACCGGCGACGATGACACACGCGACTTGAAATGTTCCTCTTTCATTCATGATCTTACACCGCTCATCGTGAGTCGCATGCGGCGCTTCGACGCGCACTGCTTCACTCCCCGTGTACCTACCAACCTGTTATTTGAATATTTTCTAAATATCAATTGACGTCCTTGAAGATTGCGAACAAGCGGCGCGGCGATCATCTATCGCGTGAAGCTGCACTGCTCGAAATAACTCGTTTCAGTGCAACTTCACGCTGATATATGTTCCGATCTAAATGGCTCGAAATTCCGGTTATTGCAAAAACAGAGTGGAAAAATTACCTCATTACCTGCCAGAAAACTAATCTCCGATGATGGACGAGCAACCGTTTGCCATTTTTGGACCATAGCTTTTGAATTTGATTGTCGGTAAACAAAACTCATCACCCCTCGGTTATGTTTGACGTACGGCACTTTCAAGCAAGTCATGCTTGAGCGAAATAATTACACCTACGATACTCCAAAAACGCACCACGATTGAAGGTCGCTCGGATCGGAAACTATCCGCAACAAAGTAGACTGGGACATAGCCACGGATATTTCCAACTGATCGCCTGCTTTGATTAGCAAACTTTCAGTTGCAATTTCGATTGGGTAACATATGGTTTAAGCTGCGCCTAAGTGTTAATTAATAGCTCACCCACCACGCGTTCCTGGTAGTTGCAAACCGACACGAACCGCACTCTTTTTATGGATGATTTGATTTGCAAGCAATAAGAGTCGAGGTGCTCACGTTTAAAATCGAAAGAGATCCGAACAGTGTAATTACTTTGTTGTTGATGTTGTTGTTGCTGCAAAGTTACGTAATCGATCCAGTGCAACTTGATGATGATATTGTTGTTGTTGTTGTTGTTGTTGGGGACATGTGCTCACGTTTTTCCGTATTTATTTCACTATTTTTAGGGCGTCAAAATCAAGATGGACGATGCCGGTAATATTCTCATCAGACGCTACTCGAAAAGCAATGTCTACGTCAAAAGCACAGCCAGCCAGCCAAACGAGGAAACGGCCATCGGAGCGGACATTCTGAAACTTCCCGGACAGGCGATCGAGAGTGAGAAAATAGTTAAGGCAAGTGCGGTGTGATGCATGGAAACATTTGATTTTTGATTTAATGTTTCCACTTATTCTTCGACAGTTATTCGATATGAAAAAGTTCCAGTCAAACGTCAACCGGGAATTGAGGCGTGCCTATCCGGATCGTCGCCGGCTTGAGACCCAGTGCCTGTCGGCGATCGCGTTTGTCAAATCGGAAAATGACATCCTGGACTGCCCGATCTGGGTGCTCATCATCAACGTGGTGGCGATGGATATGCTCAAGAGCAAACTACCTCCAGGTAAAGTACCGTCCCTCTCCGAAAACCGTTAAATCTCAAGACATATTCCCATGAGGAACAGTTACTCTAACCTGTAACGGCTGTAAACGTCATTGATATCCATTTTCTCGATGATGGGATTTTCATGGCAATCAGCAGTAGCGATTATCGTTATACCTAGCCAGAGAGTTGTTCACCTCCCGGTTGACCTTCCGTGCTTTTGTTCTTACAAAAATAACCCTCAATATCTGGTTGGAAATGTGAAATATGGTTCCATTCTCTGAGAATGCGCCCGCCGAAGAACGAGAACCAAAAACTATGTCTCCGTATCATTCCCGCCTACCTAGCACCAATATCATGCAGCAGCAATCTCCTCCCGTCTGTTTTGAAGTTTTCCCTACTCATACGTGACCACCACCGTGAGGTTCTTGAAGAGGCACCCATTATGAAATTTGTTGCACAGTTGTGCTGGCGATTATCAGCGTGTTTTCATCTCGACATGTTGTCACCACACAGCACACAGCACGGTCCGAAGATACGATGACGGCGACTCCAGGGAGTCTGGTGAGTTGCGAGCATTGTTTTCTATGATCTAACCAGTGTAAACACTCATGCCTGTTGGTAATTAATTGTTTGAAGCTGCGCTGACTCACGTCGTCGTCCGAACAATGAAAGCAAGCCATGACGTGAGGACCGTTATTGTGGAAGAATGGTGCTGGCTGGGCCCTACTTCCACACAAATAGGCTTTGGGAAATTATGTTAGATTTCATGAAAATAGCTATCACAAATTGACACGGGCCCTTGGACACGAGCACATGGTCCAAAGATTTCAGAAGGGCATGAATATATCAATAGCCCTCTCAGATGAATTGCGTTCTTGACGGCCAACTTATCCCCAGTCAGCCAGACATAAAATGCACACAAAACATAAGTGATCGATCGAGTGCTAGAGCTGACGTCGAAACGCGAAATGTTAAATTCCTCCATTTACGCAATAAATGACATTTCAGCTTATCATGGCGCTCGCCACTCGGTTCTTCCACAACTATAGGTAGGAAAAAAGGGAATGTTGTTGGTGAATGCATTACTTATTTGAAGCTGCATTGAGCCAGCTTGTTTATGCTAGCCATTATTATTGTAGTAAAGTAATGTTTGAAATTGTGCGATCACTCTGGGATGACAAAGAGAAACGGAGTTGGCAGTTCATGAGTGGATAATTGAAGTGCAATGATAGCGGCTATGGAAACGCAGCTTTGTTAGTTTCCTGTGTGACAGAGGGCTATAAATTCAATAATAATCCATTCAAGTGCAGTCAACGAACTCCTATCTATTTTTTGCCTACCATTTCATGCTACTATGCTACTAGATACTATGTTAACACTTTTCTCGTAATACTGATCGCAAAAGCATTGGATTTCCCATTCAAATCGATCTAGGTTCCCACGCTACTTCATCGTACCATCAGAAAATCAAATGAACTGACTTAATTTTTCACATTCTTCCACTAATTTGAACCATCTCAGATAATGCAACAACAACAATATTCGTAACAATAAGCATCCACAAAAGTGCCACCGCGTGCGGACGCATAGGAATTTCAATGACAAATGTCAAATGACATTTACGACCGCTCCCACATTGCAACAAACCGGAGTCAATCAAGATTTTAAATCACCTCTTCGTTTTGTTCCCAAACAACCGGTTTAGTCAAGCTCATCAACTCTTTTTGTTGATATCGAACCATCCTAAATTGAGTATCAAAGCAATTCAAGACGATTGACAAATTGCCCAACAGAAATATTTATTATACATTGTTTTTTGTTGTCATTAAGAGCAAAATGATGCGAAAGTATTTAACATTTAAAATTTCAACACAAGTTTCAAATTTTCAAGTTCTTGAATTCCTTGAAAAAACAAAAACTGAAGTTGAAACCGGGAAAGTGATGCGGAGTGAGTTTCTTCAGAGCGAGTTAATTACTATTCCGCTCAGAGTGCAGTGACAAAATTCGGTTTCGTTCATTGAACTTGTCTGTCTGTCCGTCTGTCGGTAATTTATCAGAGACTTATGAATCGCAAAAAAATCTCTTGCGAAGAGATGACGGAACGGTCGACTGATTTTAGGTCACGTTCTCGGGCTTTCTGTTGATATTCATTCTCGGCCCGTATCCGTCGTCTCAAAGAGTTTTTGCGTTAAGTCTACCCTCCAACCCCTCCCTTTCCATGCATCAGATTGATGGAGTGCAGTTGGGTTTTCCTGTTTGCACGTTTTAATTACAAGCTTTGTTTTTTTTTTCTGCCATGCGCCATAAACAGTTAGAGTAATCTTTTAATGGTCTAGCACCTTTCAAGTTCTGGATGAATTCACACCTTCACCACATTAGTGTACAGTTATGACAACTATCCAGTTAAAATAATAATGATGCTGGGAATTTTTTTTTCTAGTTTATCTAAACGAGTTGCTGACCGAGATTAGGGCAGAGCACTACTTCGGCCTAATCGCCCATTTTGGGCCTATCGAGCAGAAAACTTTAAATAAATCCATGATTTCAGAGTTAACAAGTCAATTATGCGTTTGGTACGATACTTTAGTTAATAAGCTACCGAACGAAGTCAATGAGAACGCGTGGTATGAAAGTTTTCATCCATTATTCCCAAAAACAAAAGAAGCGCTCCGACCGAATCAATTTTTATCTTCATACGATAGGCCGAAGTGAATTCATTGGCGTTTCAATTGCGTTTCAATGCGTTAGGCCGAGTTTGGCGTCAAGAAGCAGTGTTGAACTTTTGACAATATCTCAACGATTGGTTTCTCGTTTTCAAATCTTATGGTACGTACGGAAAGGCAAATAAATATGGAAGCCATCAGTAAGAATAACATTCCGTTTGGTGCTAAACTGATCTAGATTAAGAAAGACTAAGTGCGTGTTATGCTTAATAGGCCGGAAATGGGGTATTTAACCCTAGTTGCTGAATGTTTGAAATATCGTCAATCTATATATATAAAAATGAATTTCTGTCTGTCTGTCTGTCTGACCCTTATAGACTCGGAAACTACTGAACCGACCGGCATGAAAATTTGTATGCAGGGTTTTTGGAGCCGGGAACGGTTCTTATGATGGTTCGAGACCCCTCCCCCCTCTGTAAGGGGGGGCTCCAGGGGGGGCTGAAACAGAATTTTCTGCATAACTCGAGAACTATTCCAGCAAATTGAACCTAATTTGACATGTGGAGGTCATAGGGGGTAGCCCCTTAGATAAGAGGGGGAGGGGGGCTACGTACAATATAGCATGCTTTTTTTTTAACCGGCGCATAAACTCAAGCTAATATTGAATCCCGAGCAAGGCCGGGCACACTCAGCTAGTTTATTATAAAAATTATGAACATGTTATTGCAAGATGGGGTAAAATTTGATTGCAAGTTTTGTCATTTGATTGGAAAATATGATTTGAAAGTAGTTACCAATTTCGTTATAAGTTGTGAAATATCTAGATAATCATTTCAAAAGGTCCTATTTGCATTTATCGATTCTCTTTCGTTAATAACTCAGCTGCAAAACCTTTCCCTGTTGTATTTGACGTTTTAGACGCGAGATAAGAATCTCCTTTAACCAACTACGAGGTAAAAATAGCGCAAAATCTGTTTGAATTTTAGTAGTTATTAAAAAATGAAAGTCGATGAAGAGAATCCAAGCAGATAGGAACATTTGAAATGTTCATCGAAAAATGTCAAGGCAAATATTATCCAATTTGTATGTAATTTGTCATGTTTTTTTCTTTCTTCTAAGCTATATTATTGTGCTCGAAACTGTGATAAATTTCAAATTTATAACTGTCCATTTTCATTGCAAAAGTGTGTAACCAATTTGTTTTGAAGTGACGACAGATTTAGTTAAAGATTGCATAAATATGCTTGAGCTTTTTATGGAATTTTTTACTGTTTTCTGGAATATTTTTCAGTAATTGTTGAATTGCAGTCGGAGTCAGATTTCCATCCGACTCCACATCCCTGCCCCTGGGTTCTTTAGGGGTATTGAGTTAATTGCATATTCGTAATCTCCTTTCGAACCGAAATGCAAAATTTCATTAATTTGGAGCACTGATACTATTTTAAATAAGTGTGATTACATTAGCAATTTGTTAGATTTGTGTCAAACAGTGAAGTGGTTATTTTGTTTCAAATCTTGAAATAAAAATCGAAATGGAAGTAAATGGGATCGAAAAAAATATGGTTGTGCTCAGAAAACTAAGCCCTTTTAAATGATGAGAAGTAATCGGTATATTTTTCAAAATTAAAGAAGCCAATTATCACATAGGCAGTACTTTGGGACTAATCATTAATCACCTATATTTATGATGAACAAAATGACGATGGCCTTAAAAACAAGTGCTTTATGTCTATGTGCCTTACCTATACTGCCGCTAATCGCATAACAGACCCATGTCCTATTGATTTCCTGTCTTCATGTGACTGTTATGCAAATGGTGGCAGAATAGATCTCTTTTGAATGTATTACCTTTTTTTTCCTCTGTTACGGGATCTAACACCACTGCGACCATTAATTTGTTCTATTGTAGTATATCCCGTGTCCTTAGTTTAGTGCATGTCGTATTACTCCATCACTATTGAGAAATGATAAAGTATTCGATTTTTTTACAGTTGTCATTCTTGCATTTATCGCAACGAGCCGACTCTAATTGAAAGGTCACGCTATTTATACCCTTCAGAGTGTTGAAACACCCTTCAAAGGCGCGCCCCTTTGTCAGTCAAAACTGGATTCCTTAGCAACAAAATTAAGGAATGACACCGATAATGACCATGCATCAAAACCCTAGTCTTAACCACTTCAAACTAGGGAACAACGAATAGAAGATTACGAATCACATAGACTAACTAACTCAAAATCATACTCGGTGGACAAAGCCGAGTCTTGTCACTATCAACAAGGCATAAAAAGTAACAAGGATTAAGATGTGTTCCTTGGATTTCTGAAAAATCCTGTTCCCCTAGTTTGAAGTAGTCA